TCCCACCAAAATGAAGAGGTACGTATTATTACGATTATCAGGTTACTGTTGTGGTACAAGGTAGAATTATTTTTATATTCCACCAATGTGCCTGTAGCATACAACTTTGTCATCCCAATTTGAGTAATTTTCATACAATCACATAGTTTAATTTAAATATAGCCTAACTTCGAAAATTATTCTGTAAACATTATTCAAACAATTATTGTTATTATTAATTATTATAAATGAATTGAATTGAATTGAATACTATACCACTACAATATTTAAAAAAGTGTGAAACAGAATCTGAAAAATATGATTAATTTCCTTCGAACAAAATGCACAAATGACTTGATAAAGGCATACATTTCTTTATTTATGGTAGTACTAGCTGAGATACTATACGTACATTTATATTCCCTGTTACTAGTTCGTTAACGGATGTGATGTAATATGTAGGTAAATATGTATCTATGTTAAGTGCGGAAAATGAAAACAAAATCGATTACATGACATTTATTTGCATTGTAATCAATAAGCCCATGAGAATATTACCGTCGACTGTTGACTTCATTACACAAATTTACAAACTTCAAAATTGTAAACAGAAAATTTTTTGTTTGTATATTACAGTATGAAACTAATAACGTAAAACACTTTAGAATAAGTCTATGAGTAATTATTTATTTTCCATTACTCCTAATTGACTCCACACACACACACAACTAAAGCAGACAATTATAAATTCTGTCGCACGATTCCAACATTAATACAGACAAGAAAGTGTCACTGTTGATGCCAGTTCGTGATAAATTGTGTTTGTGTGAGATAAAGGAAAATAGATTTGACTAGGAAAAAATTTCCAAGTAGACGTATAATTGTATTTCTTGGTCGATGTTCGTTTTATGAACTAGCATTACAAAATTTTAGTACTTTGAAGCTTTGCCATGAAGAAAGAACCGTTTGAACAAGATGTTCATTTCGTTATTCAGCCTCTACATTTTGTGTCAAAAATATTTGGAATGTGTCCTTTTCATATCGATCCAAAATACAGGTACGATAATGAAAGACTGTGTAATGTTTTACATAACATGTTAGCAACATTTATGATTGTTACCTTATTTTTTGGCTTATATAGCAGCATGATATATGCAATTGAATTCAATGATCCCACATTCAATATATTCGTTCGTGTGGTTTGGGTTTTTAGTATTGTAGCTGCATATTCGACGAGTATACTGGGATTAATTTTTAGTGTTACAAGGAACAAGAATCATATGACAGCCGTGTTAGCCAGCATCTGCCGAGTAGACAAGAAGTTGGTGCACCGTCACAGTAAACAGAATATTTACACAAGCCAGAGATCACACGTAAAGTTGCAGCTAAAGATTATGTTTATAACATTAGGGATTGTTTCTTCGTCTTGTGCTTACTCGTTTTATAATGGCACATGGACGCCTTATTTTTTGGCTTATATAGCAGCATGATATATGCAATTGAATTCAATGATCCCACATTCAATATATTCGTTCGTGTGGTTTGGGTTTTTAGTATTGTAGCTGCATATTCGACGAGTATACTGGGATTAATTTTTAGTGTTACAAGGAACAAGAATCATATGACAGCCGTGTTAGCCAGCATCTGCCGAGTAGACAAGAAGTTGGTGCACCGTCACAGTAAACAGAATATTTACACAAGCCAGAGATCACACGTAAAGTTGCAGCTAAAGATTATGTTTATAACATTAGGGATTGTTTCTTCGTCTTGTGCTTACTCGTTTTATAATGGCACATGGACGTGTTTAATGTACATGATTTCGCAAATATTAAGCGCTGTCATAAACAACGTCAAGACATTACAGTACGTGAATGTAATACTGATAGTGAAGCAGAGATATCAGCTTATGAAACACTTACTGCTAAAGGAAGTCCTCGCAGACAGCTGTTCGAGAAATCCTGGACCTTTTAAGGTCCACAACGCCAATAAGATATTTCTGACGACAGATAACTTGAAGAATTACAAGGATTCTAGTAACGTGTGCAGAATCCGCGACTTGCGAATGGTCCATAGCGAACTCTATGACGTGATACACGAGAATAACAACAGCTATGGGATTATAATCGTACTTGACTTTATTACCGGACTGACAAACTCTGTGGGCACAACATATTTCGGAGTTATGACTATAAATGACGCAGTTTTCAATAATGGTAACTTTGAAATATATTTTAAAGGGATAACTCTTCTGTCTATGTGTGCTTTTGAACTATTCGCATTATTTTGGCTGACGACGTGCTGTCATTCAACTGCTGAAGAATTCAATGCTACGCTCATTCATATACAAAAACTACTTTTGTATCCGTATATGTCCACAACGCCAATAAGATATTTCTGACGACAGATAACTTGAAGAATTACAAGGATTCTAGTAACGTGTGCAGAATCCGCGACTTGCGAATGGTCCATAGCGAACTCTATGACGTGATACACGAGAATAACAACAGCTATGGGATTCTAATCTTACTTGAGTTTATTACTGTACTGACAACGAGTGGTCAGCAAACGTGCCTTTTACTAGGGAGGGCCTCGTTTAAAATGTAGGACCAGAGACGGACTATTCTGATAGATGATTTTCTCTGTTTTCCTCCGACCCCACAGACAATTAACGAAACAGTTCCGTAAATTCGGAAGCAAATGCTTCTTCCCACTTCCTTTCGAGTGTATAATTCTCTAGCCATCATAACGAATAAAAATGTACCAATAAATTTAATTATATTTAAAATTGTACTCTGTCTGATTTTTAGTATGCGCTATATAAATGTGACAAAATGGAATTAAAGTGGTTTTTAATTCTGATCAAGACAAAATAAATATTGTAAGGTTTAATGTTTTCACAGCGATGAGTATGAAGATTTGACAGATAAAACCTCGGTTCCGATAATTTCGTTTGGGAGTGCCTCAGACTAGCGTAATATTAAAATATTTGTAATTCTTTAAAATGTATGTTAAACATTTAAAATTCCTAAATATATTACTTAAAATAAATACCGTTGGAGTAACTTACGCGGTTGCTATTTAATGAAATATCCAAACCGCCCGCACAAATGTTAATGTATTTATTGGCATTACCGAATTACTCATCAAGGAATGTGTATTACCGAAATTACACATTGCACAATACAACAGACACTTCTGTCTTATGTACCATCCATCACCTGTTCGAATAAGAAATTATTTTCAAATTGCAGAATGGGTATGATCGATACGACCTAAATATATATGTATGTTAAGTTCAGAAAATAAAACCAAAATCGATCACAAGGCATTTATTTGCATTGTAATCAATAAGCCCATGAGAATATTACCGTGGACTGTTGACTTCATTACACACATTTACACGTTTCAAAATTATAGACAGAAACTTTTTTCTTTGTAAATTACAGTATGAAACTATTAACTTAGAACACTTTAGAATCGGTCTATGAGTAATTATCTATCCTCCATTACTCCTAATTAAGTCCACACACACAACTCAAGCGGACAATTATAAATTCTGTCGCACGATTCCAACATTAATACAGACAAAAATTGTCACTGTTGATGCCAGTTCGTGAAAAATTGTGTTTTTGTGAGATAAAGGAAAATAGAGTTGACAAGGCAAAAATTTCCAAGTAGACGTATAATTGAATTACTTGGTCGATGTTCGTTTTATGAACTAGCATTACAGAAATTTGAGTACTTTGAAGCTTTGCCATGATGAAAGGAATAAATATTGTAATAAAATTTACCATTAAGATCTAGACACAGAAGAATCTTATGATTTACACTCATCAGTGAAATTTCGGGTTCTCACGGCGTCGAGTATAAAATGGATGTCTTCTGGGATCTTAAACAGAGTCCTGAAGTCGAGTGGTCAGCAAACGTGCCTTTTACTAGGGAGGGCCTCGTTTAAAATGTAGGACCAGAGACGGACTATTCTGATAGATGATTTTCTCTGTTTTCCTCCGACCCCACAGACAATTAACGAAACAGTTCCGTAAATTCGGAAGCAAATGCTTCTTCCTACTTCCTTTCGAGTGTATAATTCTCTAGCCATCATAACATTTGACGCTGTACAGTCTGAAACATTGAAAGCGTCGTTGAATAAGCTATAAATATACAATCACCAGATCATGAAGGCTTATTTTTACAGTATTAACGTCGTTCCTTTCTATACTAAAGGTCGGTGGAATAATAATAATAATAATGAACTATGGCCAAATATAATATTTGACAGATAAAACCTCGGTTCCGATAATTTCGTTTGGGAGTGCCTCAGACTAGCGTAATATTAAAATATTTGTAATTCTTTAAAATGTATGTTAAACATTTAAAATTCCTAAATATATTACTTAAAATAAATACCGTTGGAGTAACTTACGCGGTTGCTATTTAATGAAATATCCAAACCGCCCGCACAAATGTTAATGTATTTATTGGCATTACCGAATTACTCATCAAGGAATGTGTATTACCGAAATTACACATTGCACAATACAACAGACACTTCTGTCTTATGTACCATCCATCACCTGTTCGAATAAGAAATTATTTTCAAATTGCAGAATGGGTATGATCGATACGACCTAAATATGAACCTATGTTAAGTGCAGAAAATGAAACTAAAATCGATCACATGATATTTAATTGCATTGTAATCAATAAGCCCATGAGCATATTGCCGTGGACTGTTGACTTCATTACACAAATTTACAAACTTCAAAATAGTAGACAGAAAATTTTTTGTTTGTATATTACAGTATGAAACTAATAACGTAAAACACTTTAGAATAAGTCTATGAGTAATTATCTATCTTCCATTACTCCTAATTGACTCCACACACACACACACACACACACAACTCAAGCGGACAATTATAAATTCTGTTGCACGACTCCAACATTAATACAGACAAGAAAGTGTCACTGTTGATGCCAGTTCGTGAAAAATTGTGTTTTTGTGAGATAAAGGAAAATAGAGTTGACAAGGCAAAAATTTCCAAGTAGACGTATAATTGAATTACTTGGTCGATGTTCGTTTTATGAACTAGCATTACAGAAATTTGAGTACTTTGAAGCTTTGCCATGATGAAAGAACCGTTTGAACAAGATGTTCATTTCGTTATTCAGCCTCTACATTTTGTGTCAAAAATATTTGGATTGTGTCCTTTCCATATCGATCCAAAATTCAGGTACGATAATGAAAGACTGTGTAATGTTTTACATAACCTGTTAGCAACATTTATGATTGTTATGTTTTTTTTTGGTTTGTATAGCACCATGATATATGCAACTGAATTCAATGATCCCACATTCAATATATTCGTTCGTGTGGTTTGGGTTATTAACATTGTAGCTGCATATTCGACGAGTATAGTGGGATTAATTTTTAGTGTTACAAGGAACAAGAATCATATGACAGCCGTGTTAGCCAGCATCTGCCGAGTAGACAAGAAGTTGGTGCACCGTCACAGTAAACAGAATATTTACACAAGCCAGAGATCACACGTAATGTTGCAGCTGAAGGTTACGCTTGTAACATTAGTGACAGTTTATTCATTTTCTGCTTACTTATTTTATAATGGCACATGGACAAGTTTAATGTACATGATTTCACAAATGTTAAGCGCTGTCATAAACAACGTCAAGACATTACAGTACGTGAATGTAATACTGATAGTGAAGCAGAGATATCAGCTTATGAAACACTTACTGCTAAAGGAAGTCCTCGCAGACAGCTGTTCGAGAAATCCTGGACCTTTTAAGGTCCACAACGCCAATAAGATATTTCTGACGACAGATAACTTGAAGAATTACAAGGATTCTAGTAACGTGTGCAGAATCCGCGACTTGCGAATGGTCCATAGCGAACTCTATGACGTGATACACGAGAATAACAACAGCTATGGGATTCTAATCTTACTTGAGTTTATTACTGTACTGACAAACTCTGTCGGAACAACATATTTCGGAGTTATGACTATAAATGACACAGTTTTCAATAATGGTAACTTTGAAATATATTTTAAAGGGATAACTCTTCTGTCTATGTGTACTTTTGAACTACTCGCATTTTTTTGGCTGACGACGTGCTGTCATTCAACTGCTGAAGAATTCAATGCTACGCTCATTCATATACAAAAACTACTTTTGTATCCGTATATAAGCACTTGGACTATAGTGGATCTAAAGAGTTTCTCATCTCAACTGAAAAACGTCAAGATTGAATTTAATATTTGCGGTTTCTTCAATTTAAATCTGCATTTCTTTTGTGCGAGTGTTGGTGGTATGTTTACGTATATAATAGTGTTGAGTCAGTTTAATCAAAAAGTTTAATCTACGTCAATTACGTTCTGCTGTGAATCATGTAAATGCACATTAATATCTTTGTAATTTTGATTAGGATAAAACACCTTATGTCTGAGAGACTCCTGTGTGTTCAACTCGCTCAGTAGGGTCGGTTCACTCAGCCTGGTGGAAAAACTGGTTATGCGGAAAACAGAAACAATATTTAGACTATGAAAAAGGCCAGATGTTATCTCGTGCGTAG